TCTTAGCAGATTTATGGATGCTTTTCTGTTTCTTTTGAGAAAGTGTGAGATCATTTGTTACATTCATACATCAAGGTTTTGATCCAAAAAAACAAGAAATGTTTTCAATGCAGAATTGGCCGAAAATGCAGTTTTCAGGCTTCAACTACTTTTCTTCATTGTAAAGTGAATATATTTGGGTTTTGGACTGACAAAAACCTTTGGTATACTTGGATGGATATGGTTTGATATACAATATGAACTGATTAATAGTTATTCTACACAAATACCCAAGCTAGGCATGACGATAGGCAGGTAGATGAATAAAAGCTCTTGAACACTGTGAGCTGTTCACCTCTGTGCCATCCTGCAGCCTGCCCTCCATCAGGCTGAGAGACACACCTCCTCTCCAGTTTGGTGCAATAGGCAGGTAACATGAGCCTGGAGGTACAGAAGGAGATGAAAAAACAGCAATGACGCACATCCGACTTTCAGCTTTGATTACAGATGAGCATTTCACACAAAAGAAAGACAGGAAGGAGGGCTCATAACCATCATTCGTCCAGGAGGAAGGCGGGGCTTGGTGCTCCTGGAAGCCCTCCGGGGACCCACCGTGGCACCGTTACCCAGAGAGAGAGTCAGGGCTGCCAGAATACAGAAGATGCTTTTAATTAGTGCTGGGTGTGAGTTCTTTCATCTGCAGCTCTTTGATATGACGGCAGGGTGAGAGCACATATGAGCTAATCTTAATGCCCAGGAGGTTCTGTGGTACATACATTGAGCGTGAACGTGTGCACACTGCATGCGTCTGTGTCAAGGTTATCATGGTTAGAAGAGCTGAGAATTAAACAAGGCAGCAAGTGAACATATTTGATGGTGCAGCACTCAGCAGGTATAAAGAATAATAGAAAAAATGTACCTTAAAAAGTGGTTGAAACGACAATTTTATTAATACGATTGAATTCAGCTTTTATTGTCATTGTGCTGAGACAACAACATGCTGTTTAGCATCTTATTAGTATAATTCAATTGTAATATAGGGAATACATGTAATTTAGAATAAAGATAAATACAATATGAATGTATGCAGGAGTTATATAGTGTAGGTATAAATAGGGTTTTGTAGTAATATTTAATGTAACAACATTAATAACTTACAAAAATGCAAAGTAACAATGGTATGAAACACAAAATGATATTCCCCTCTCACATTTACAAATGATACCTTGCTGATCGTAGTAAAACAAACGTTAATCAAACCTGATAGAAAGAAAGTGAAACTATTCAAACCATATTGTTGTTTTCTTTCCAATTGATTATCACCCAATCATTGGTGATTATTTTAAGATTTCTGTTTTCAAATATCCAGCATTTACAATCTGGTGTTTTTGATGCCTGGATATAAAATGGGCATACAAATACAATAACACCTTTTTATCTTCCATTGGAATATTTCCGTCTCCTTGCCATGAGCACATAGTGAGCTGCTTATTTTTGAAAAACATCTCTGTGTTTAAAAACTGTGTACAGCCTGTTTGTGTGGAAACCCTCTGTTTCCATTGCACTTATTCTCAGTTTAGTTTGAAATGTATATGCCACCTTTCCAACAACTTAATCCAAGCATAGATGCTTGTTTTGAGATTATTATTATTTCCCCAATATTTCCAGTCTTGTGTTTTTGATGCATAAATCTAAAACAGGCTTAAAACAAAGACACTTCCCACCATCAGGGGGTTTTCACAGCTATTGCAAAGTGCCTTTTTTACAGGTTGTACTGTTTGTATAACTTGAATGCGGGGGACAAAACATTTGTGTGAAATTTAAGTTCAAACCATCTGCTCCTTTATTTTCAGTGAGAATTGGGGAACCATGTGTGATACATGAAAAAAAAAAAAAATCTTTAAAGCATCTCCTCGTGCACCTGTTATGTCTGAAAAGCAGGCGAGGCCAGGCTTAGCGACTCTTTTTGCATGCAGACACAAAACCCATTTCCTGTATTGTGCTGATAATGCGGCTACTCTGTCACTGTTACTGTGTTGCCGATAAACTGGACAGAAAAGAGCTTGAATTTTAATTAAATTCGAATCACAGAGGCAGGAAATAAAAAGGCTGTTTGCGGGTAGTTCTTCAGTCTGCAGCCTCGCTGTCTCGTTTAATGTGTGTTTGTTTTATTGACCTTGTCAGACGGATGCTGAGTGGCCCGGTGATGGACAGCCGGTCGGCTCCTCTGGGTTCAGCTGACTCCTCATTTTTTGTCTGCTGGTTGTACTTTCATGCTCAGCACATACTGTCGGCGTCTGGAGCCACTTTCCCTCTGTCACTGCGAGATGATCCTTTTGATTTAACTGGCTTTCATCAGAGGTGGAAGAAATACTCGTAACTTAAGTAAATTAAAATAAAGTAAACTATGGCAATTTTTCTGAATAGTTATATCACTGGAGTTAATTATCCATTAATGTGTACATAATTTTACATTTTGCAGCTGATAAAGTTGGAGCAAACTTTGCCTTTTTTTACATCATGGTATCTTTTATCCATAGCAGTATATACAAAGTCATTATGAGATTGTTATAGTTTGTTATGATCATTTTAAAGGGGTCCTATAGTATATGCTTTTCTAGGTCTTCTCTTTCCTGTAGTGTGTATATAGATTGTTGTGCATTGTCTGCAGGACCACAGGGGATTTTAATACCCCCGCCTGAAACGACTTCTTTGTTTACTTCCGCAACATAGTGACATCACTATGTCACACTGGCTAGCGCTCCAACACATTGTACGTAATAGGTTAAGGGGCGAGACATCTCTAAGCGGTTGACCAATCACAACAGAGCTGACCAGCTAACCAATCAGAGCAGACTGGGCTCTGGTTTCAGACAGAGGGTGAAAAGAGGTGCTGCAGCACAGGTAGTATGTGAAAAATAAGGAGCTTTTTGAACATTAAAGCATGGAGACATGTCCCAGTAGAGACACTAAATACTGATATGAACCTGAACATAATTGCGCCCTTTTAAAGGTGGGGTAGGTAAGTTTAAGAAACCGGCTCGAGATACACTTTTTGTTATATTCCATGGAATGCTCTTAACATCCCGATAGCAATGAATATCTTAAGTGCTTTGACAAAAAATCCATTAAAAAATGTCATCTGTGGAAGCCGTAGTACTGTAAAAAGTATGACCAATCATTTTAGCCGGCCCGGCTAAAATAACTGGATGGCCTACCTGCCTGTCAGCCTTCCATCTGTGCACAAACTTATCTCGTGCCCTCATTGGTCATGTGCGCGTTCGTGTGTGTTGGAGGAGGGGCTCTGTAAGGAAGTGGCAGATTTTCTCCGGTTGTGTATTTTCAAATTCTAGCGATCTCGAGCCGGTTTCTCAAATGTACCTACCCCACCTTTAACAAAAAAAAAAAAAAAAAAAGAAAGAATTTCCCAATTTGGGATCAATAAAGTACGATCTATCTATCTATCTATCTAACCTGCAAAGTAGCAACTAATGTTAAATACATTTGAGGAGTAAAATACAATATGTGGTTCCAAATTGTAGTAAAGTAGAAGTTGAAATGTGTGCAACAGTTTCCTAGTCATGCATGCTCAGGCTGCAGACAGGAACACAGATGGACCTGATGCACAGGAAGTGGCTAGCACCCGTCTCCTCGACACGTTCTCATCCTCGTTATGCGAGAGGCTTCATTGTGCTGTGCCATCAGGCCTCAGAGTGTCTGCAGTCTCTCAGAGAGGTTGGCCCGCTGCGGGGGGTCACACTGGAGGAGGAGAGTGTTGTGTGGCTTCTTGTTTTAGAAGCAGAAGGAGGAAGGTGGGACTGATTTTTTTGGAATTGGTGATGGGAAACACGTCGGGTCAGAATTAGATGTTCATTATTGCAGGAGGATCATGTATCAGCTGCTCCGCTCTACAAAGAGCAAAACTTCCCTCATCTGTGATCCAATCTGACACATTGTATTTCTCTGACTGCAGTGTAGAAGATATTGACTTGTCTGCTGTACCTACGATGTTGAGATACTTGCGTAATTCCATTTTTTTTCTACTGAAGCAACAAAAGCTATTTATTTTCCTTTATACTTTTTATTGTATTACATACAGTATACACGTTTCAAGGCTTTATTGTCATTTGTACATTAGCTACAGTGTAGATATGGAGATGAAAAACTTAGGTCAGGCTCCTCCAACAGTGCAACATGAATATACTGTATATAGGACATATAAACAGATAAAATAGTGCAAGAGAATGTTTTGAGATGTGCAAGTAAATACAAATAAAATCGAAATAGTGCAAGAAGAGAGTATATGGTAAAATCCACTACTGTACATTTATTGAAAATATTAATAGTTTAGAAACAGATTTACAAACTCAATACAAAATAAAACTAACTAATAAACTATTATATATTATTATTTAAATGTATCCAGCAGTACTTACTTAGAAATAAACTGCACCTATAATTTATGTTCTGTATTAAAACAATAACATAATCTGTATTATTCTAAAAAATATATATTTTTACTTTTGTATAAAAATATGTTTTCATGCTAATACTTTGTAACTGGTAAACCTTTTACATTGAAATGCGATATTCATATTGTATTTTATTTTTCACACTGTCGATTGTACTTTTCAAAATGCTGCTTAGCATCTTAGAATTCAGTTATATAGGGAGTAATGTAGAATAAAGATACAATGTGATCTTATGCAGGAGTTATATAGTGTAGTGAAAATAGCGTTTTCTAGTAATATTAAATGTTATAATGTTAATAACTTCCAAAGACATTGAAATGTGATATTCATATTGTACTTTTCACACTGTAGAGCTTCTTCTACAGCTTATAATGGAGCACTAACCACACATCCTTGTTCACGCTCCATGTGATCTTTATAAAAGAACTTTCTCATGAACACAAAGCATCCAGCTCCCATACGTTCACATAAAACCCAATACGTGGCGGTGCTGTGTTTACAGAGGTGGGCTCTGGTCTCGTAGTGAACCTCCTCTCTTCCTTCCTGCAGGAACATCTGTCTCCAGCCTGGACCCTCGCCCCGGACCCTCATCCCGGCCCGCCCTCCACAACAATGAACTCCTCGCCACACGGCTCCCGCGCCTCCATCGACATCCTGGAGGAACTCCAGCTGATTGCTGCTCAGAACCTGGAGAAACTGGACATCAACAAATACTATGAGGTGGTCTGTGAGCTGGGGAAGGGCACGTACGGGAAGGTGGACCTGGTCGTACACAAAATCAGAGGTAACTGTGTGTGTGTTGACGCTGAAGCTGATTCCAAATACTTCTTTTGATGTTCCTTTGAAATGAAGTGTTTTGAAGCTAGGCTTGGAAGGTGCATCACACCTTGGATTTCTCCACATGATTAAAGGAATACTCACCCAAAAATACATCATTTGTGTATCAATTACTCACCCCGTGTTACCTTGATCTTTTTCTCACATGCCTCCATGGCAAACAAAGAAGGAAACAACTGACACAAGTGTTGTTCAGTGGAAGTACATAGGGAAACAACAATATCAAAACTTCAGTTCTCACATTCTTACATACTCACATACTCACATACTTACTTAGTTACTTACTAACATACTTACTTATTCACTAACTTACATACTTGCTTACATACTTACTTACTTTCTGACTTCCTTAATTACTTATTCACTTACATACTAACTTACATACTTACTTAGTTAGTTTCTTACTTACTTTCTTACATATTAACTTACATACTTACTTAGTTACTTACTTACTTACTCATTCACTTATACTTACTAGTCAAATACAAAAAACATAGCATACACATAAGTAACATCCTACATATACATATTTATATACTTAGCAATACTTACTTACCTACTTAAAGCCATATTGACTTCAATACCTACTTACTTGGTACCTGGTATTGAAGCATCAGCAAACAAAGAATACCATTTTTTACTGTTTTATCTTCCACAATCACTTATAAAAGCCCTTTCATGATGTTTAAGTGTTTACTTTAGAAAAATACATTTGATGTAATTGTCCACATATTTAATGCAGTATTTTGGCATATATCTGAACTCAGATTCCTTAAATGTACTACTTAACTAATGGAAAATCTGTTGAACCTTTCCACATTAAAATCCCATGATGTCCTATTTCCTTTTTATGGAGCACAAAGCACATTTTGAAAGCAGCGGTAGTGTGTCACCGAGATGAGTTCTGACCTTTCCAGCCTGTGAAGTGTGGAGTTGAAACAACGTGCACCTGTGCTTTTACCTTGTGCTTTATTACTGAGATCTTCTCCATCAGAGAGCAGATCCAATTGTCTGATGGTGCTCGGTTTAAATGTCAGGTTCACTATGGGGATAAATGGCCTGAAGGCAATATCGTTTCTGACCTTTTGAATCATAACTGTGTTAGAGTTTTAGTGAAGAGGGAAACTGAAATGTGAATCAGTCACAGTTAGAAATGGGGTTGTCCTTTAATATTCAGTTTCCTCCGCCAAATAAAATCCAATATTTAATTTGTCAGCATTTTATGCATTTAACATATTTTGAATATTTTCTTTTCATTTCGATATTTTCAACTTTGACCTCATGCTACAGCTGCAGTCACACGACTTTATATCCGTTTTTTATACCTTCCTTTAATATTTGAGACTTTTTCTCTAAAAGTATTTGTTCAATATTTGTGCCGAGGAGAGTCAGTGTGGAAATATAATGTTCCTTTAAAGTTACTTCACAGTAAACACGTGTCTCACAGTTAAAATACTACATTAAAAGTCCTTCATTGAATATGTTACCGACTTATTAGAAGTATGTACTAGAAGTGTTATTCAATGTAACAAGTTAAAAAATAAGTAACAGAAAGATAAAAGCATACTGTTTTTATTTTGAAGTGCTGTTGTTTTTACAGTTAAGGGGCCGTGGGGTAGATTTTAAATGCAGCTTATTTGTAGGTCCTGCCCTGAAACCCTCACAGTTTAGAGTCAGCTGAGTTCCTCTGAACATGTTTGTCCTCGTGCAAATGAGCCAGCAGGCTGACTTTCAGAAAACAACTCATCTTCCATGAAAACATGAAACGTCTGGAACACAAGCTGCTGCTTAGAGAATACAACATTATCTATTTGTTGTTTCAAATATTCTGTACTGTAAAAAATAGTATTGCCATGCGCCTTTTAGATATAGATAAATATGATGGCAAATAACTCTCTACAAATAATAAATAATACAAATGAAAAAATAAAACTATAATTATTATAATAATGTATTACAATTAATAAGTGTTAAAAATAACGTTATAGCCTACTGTTGGCAACCATAATAAGAATATTAATATTACTTGTACGGCAATTATTATTTGACGCCTTCTGCCGGATTAGAGACTTAAAATAGACGATATTCTTACAAATGTTTTTATTTGATGCACAGCTCACAGAAAGCACATTCTCTCGAGGTAAATTGTGCATCACTTCTGTGATTGGGACTTATTTCTCTTGTGTATAGTCCGGTCAACATTACAAAGCGTTATGAACAGACTCTGGACCTTCCCCAAAGGCTCTCTGTTGACCTGCACAAAGCGCTCTGCAGAGCTGAGCCGGTGCTATTGGAGACCCCTCCCCTCTCCTCTCCTCTCCTCCTCGCTGACACACTGACTGATGGTGCAGAGAGGCAGACGTGGCAGCGCTCCACCTTTTTATATTTTTATATTAGCTCTGTTCATTTCTCTCTTGTTGCAATAAAGTGTCTGCCAAGGTGAGCCTCTGAACCTCACAAGACTACATTTGTTTTAGTGCATCACTTTGACATGATAGTGGTGTCAATTGATTGAATTGCATTAATCATAACGACGATAGAAGACACCTTTTTTTTTATTTGGCACAAAAGTCCATTTGTCCTAAACATGATCAAAGTTCAAGGTCACTTAGATCTCACAAATTACATTTCATATGCAGATTTTACACAACTGTTTATCATATACAATGATGGAGTGATGACATATTGAACGTAATAATGTATTTAATGGTTCAACATCATTAAATACAGTCTCTTACATTTATACTGTTTCATATTTACAACACAACGTAAAATGCGCCATTGACACAAATCAAAGACGGAAAAAATGAAGTACATTTATTGCACAAGATGCAAAATATAACAAAATAATATATAAAAGTAAATCGCTGACAGGGAACAATTTACTGCACAATTAATAGTTATACTTGAAATACCTACAAATAAATGTTGCTGATTCATACATAAGTAAATGCAGGACTTTTATTTGTGTTAAAAATGTAGAAACCTTACTTTGTTAAAGTGTAAGCAGGTCACTCTATGGGAACATAGTCTGGAGGATTTAACTCAGTGACGTGGGAGATTTTAATTATTCATCACATTTTGATCATTTTAATTAAGTTTCATACTTGCAATTAGGCAGATGAAAGGTGAAATAATTACCCTAGACACATCTCATATGCAAGAAGAACGAGGGAGCGAGGATGGAGATTTATGGAGTTATGTAACATTCCTCTGTCCTCCTTTTTTGTTTCTCAGGCACTAAAATGGCCCTGAAGTTTCTGAAGAGGAAGACGACGAAGCTGAAGAGTTTCCTGAGAGAGTACAGCATCTCCCTGTACCTGTCGCCCTGCCCCTTCATCATCAACATGTACGGCATCGCCTTCGAGACCGACGAGTACTACATCTTCGCTCAGGAGTACGCGCTGGCAGGAGATCTGTTCGACATCATCCCTCCACAGGTGAGAGAAAGATTATCATGTATATGTTGTGTTCAGGGACACTTGCACTTTCCATCATGAATACATGTCAAAAAATCTGCTTAGAAATCATAAGGACGCTACTTATAACTCAAATCTTGTTGAAACATGTTTTTTTTTATGACCTTTAACAATAGTATTTATGACATATGAATTATGACTTTGTATACTAACCAAAGATTAGTTTTATGACAATTTGATAGACATTTCTGTAAACTTTTATATGACATGCTGACTTTGAAGAGTTTTTTGGGCAACCAGTCCCTTTATTCAAGTGACAGCTATGGTCCCGGGCGGGATTCGAACCTCCGCTTGTCAGCTCTACCAATTGAGCTATACAACGGCGTAAATCAAATTCTACTTTTTTTTTTTTACTAACTATTTTATTACTTTTTCTACATTTTTGACACAATATTCTATGGCTTTTTTAAAAACTTTTTTTACTTCTTCGACATACTGGCTTTTTTTCTATACTTTTTTCTGATAAGATGGACATTGTTTTGGATTTTTTTTATTCGAAAGACTATACTTTTTTTCTAAATATCATACTTTGACATTCTTTTAATATTTTAGACACACTACTACACTATGACATTTTTAAAACCTTTTATCACATTATACTATGACTTTTTTCCTATACTGTGTTTGTTTTTACTGATCATTTCGTTATACTATAATGACAATTTGTTATATATTTTCGATATACATGTATACATTTTAACACATTATACCAGTGGTTCCCAACCTGGGGGGGCACAGCGCTATTGCAGGGGGGGCGCGTGAAGCTTGGGAAGAAGTTGTAAACAAACATTGTTTGCTCGTAAAATCAATAAAATGGACACATTTTTAACACAGTTAAAAGAAAAGTGACCACGACAAGCCTTTCAGTTATAATGCCCAAATCAACAACGTTTTTATATTTTTTGACATTCTGTACTTTGATGTTTTTTATGATATTTTGGATCATACCTTACTATTACTTAATTTTTTTACATAGTAAGCTATAACTGTTTTTTTCATAATTCTCGACCTACTACTCTGACTTATTTTATATTTCTTGACAGAATGTACAATGAATGTTTTGACATTTATTGATGTACCATACTTTGATGTTTTTTCTTATATTTCTGACATACTATAACATGACTTGTTTCAACATACTATCCTATTACAGTTTTTAATATTTGAATGGGTTTCATTTCTTTGACCTCGTTCTTCCACTCCTTTGTTCAGGTGGGTCTTCCTGAGTGTGTGGCGAAGCGCTGCGTCCACCAGGTGGCGATCGCCCTGGATTACCTGCATTGTAAGAAACTCGTGCACAGAGACATCAAACCCGAGAACATCCTCATTTTCGACAAAGAGTGTCGCAAAGTCAAGCTCTCAGACTTTGGCATGACGCGGCGCGCCGGCTCCCCGGTGAAGCGCGTCAGCGGCACCATCCCATACACGGCGCCCGAGCTGTGCGACACCTCGCGGCACGAGGGCTTCTGCGTGGACTACAGCACGGACGTGTGGGCGTTCGGCGTGCTGCTCTTCTGCATGTTGACGGGGAACTTCCCCTGGGAGAAGGCCATGCCAAACGACACCTTCTACGAGGAGTTTGTGCGCTGGCAGCGGCGCCGGACAGGCACGGTGCCGTCGCAGTGGCGCCGCTTCACCGATTATTCTCTCCGAATGTTCCGAAGGCTCCTCTCCATTGAGCAGGAGCGCCGCTGCTCCGTCAAAGAAGTCTTCAGCTACTTCAACCAGAGCTGGATGCTGGACACGGAGAACGGGAACGGCTTGGCGAGCAGCGCGGCGCCCCCTCTGGACATCAGCTCGTCGTCGTCTGAGGAGAACGTGTTGGTGGACCGGCTGAAGCACCAGAGCCTGTCCCCCGCCTGCATGGCAGCGAAGGGGAGCCTCATGATGGACACACACTTCTCCTCCGTGTCCACGAACAGCTCGCCCTCCTCCACCGGCAGCTACGATCGCGTCAACAGAGAGAACAACGAGAGAGGGCGCCACCTGGTGGCCACGCCCATCGAGATCTGCGTCTAGAGGCGCTGGACGCTGCGTTTCATGTGAGGAGGGGGATTTCTCTGAGGTAGAGGAGCAAAGAGCGGATCAAAAAGTCGTCGCCTCGCTGCTGATTTACTCATTTCTGATGAAGACTCGCTCTGAGGAAATGAGCAGAGAGCCTCCTGTATGTGCTCGATACTTGGGATACTGAAATGGACGACCTGTTGAAAAAATAATGCTGAAGGACAAATACAAAAACAAAGACATTCACAATCCACGAGCAATACGAAAATGATCCAGTCCATGCAAAAAATAATTCTCGATCGGCTTTCAGTAAAAACATTTCTTTATGGTACTTTTGTGTGTTTATAGATAAGTGTTATTTCTTAGTATGTGTTTTTTTTATTTGGAGTTCAATTATTTATTTAAAGCAGATGCATATATTTATGATTTGTAAGAGGTTAGAAGCCTTTTGTTTTACTCTGGCTTTCCCTGAGAAAAAAAATGTAATTACTGTAGTATGGTTTTTTTAAATATTCGTCATCATGTTGTCGTGATCTCTCACCATAATGTCCTCTCCCATGTTTGCCTGTGATCCCTCTTGTACAGCAGCAATCCATACATGGTACATTGTTTTCTTTGGGTAAAAAATACATAATAATCAGCTATTTGGTAGAATGACACGCGGGAAAAAAGTAAGAATTTTTCTGATTTTTCAATTTGCATGGTTAAAGAAGACAATAGTATCTTTCATTGAGGAAGTAGCATAATTATCTAACAAGTGATTCATTTGGACTTTCTTCTTCTCCGAAAATAAATAAATAAAAGAAACAATCATTGACATTAAAATTGCTGATTGAATACAAATAAATACATACAATTCTGTAAGGATTTGGGGATGTTACCTGCCCTATTAAATATGTATTCTGTTGTTTTTATTGCTGTTTAATTTAAAAGTAAAACCCTGAACGTGTCAAACATTTGGGAATTCAAATGTTTACTTTCTGTTTTCCATAAGTATTGCATGTTCATTCCTGTGGTGACATTTGTTGAAATAAACACCCCCAAAATTAAATTGGAGCCAATTTGTCTTTTTATTCCTTTTTTTATAAAGGTTTAGCATTTCTAGAAGATTTGCTTCCACTCTGATTCTTAATATGATGTTTATTCATAACGTTCCTAAAATGAAGGTAACATATTTAAAACAGTCATAGTGTAGTATTTCATCAAGAAATATTCAATGTGTCATAATATGATATTAAAAAGTCAAAAGAAAATCACAGCAGATTTCTTAATTAAATGATCGTCAGTCATAATGTCATATTTTATAGATTTCTCATAAAAAATGCATATTATCGTATACCATACATGTAAGGTGTCATTTAAAAAAGTAATAATAGAGTAAGTCATACAAATATCACCAAAAAGTATAGTTTCAAAAATATTATCAAAATGAATGCATGTCAACAGTCATTGTACAGTTTGCATTAAAAAAATCAATAGAAATCCTTTCAATAGTATTTTATAAACACCTGATTAGTAAAGTATGGCATAGAAACATCCTAAAAAGTGAGTTAGTATTTCATAAAATGCTAAAAATAATAAAGTATGTAAATAATTATCTAAAAGTGTAGCATCATTTGTCATATTTATTTTAAAAAGAGATGTACATAGTGGGTCCTAATATTAAAAGAAAATGTCATATTACATTATTTCATCAAAGCATCATAAGAAAATCAGTGCATGGTATTTTATACAAATATAAATTAAAAAGTAAATATAGAAAAGGCATGATAATATATTTAAGAATGTATAAAATATTATTGCATATCATAAAAAGTCACAAAGTCGTGTAGTGTGTTTATAAAAATGTGAATAGGTACTCATTATTATTATTATTATTATTATAACTATTATTATTTTATACACTTATTCTGAACATCATTATTATTTTGTATTGTTCTTGGTTTTCTGGTTAAATTACGTATGTTAAACCACTATAAATTAAATATATAGTATGTCATTATAAAAGTCAGTTGGAGGGAGCTTTACCCAGACTAGATTCAGCGGACAAATCCTGATTTCACATTGGTGCACAAGTATTACTGGGGCGAAGCCTGCGAGCTAGTTCAGGCAGTCAACTCGAGCACTTATGCTGCATTCATACATAACGCCCCTTGCCACTCTACAACCAACCAAACAGAGTCTCCTTAATGTGCCGCTCTATTTAACCTGCCTGATATCTCTCTATGCATTGCTTGCTGCTGCTATTGCTGCAGCTACCTCTACGTTGCTGCTGCTTGCCTGTCCCACCACCACCCCAGCTTCCACCTGTAGGCTCGGGGGATAGTTATCTAATCATCACTCATCGTGCTATGTATATCTATGGAGTGATGATACCCGAGCCTAGACGCCAAACTCAACTATATTCTGCTTCTATTAAACATGTTAAAGAAACACGTGAGTTGTCTGACTGAAATAATCCAATGATCTATTATTCAATAGTAAAAGAGTCATGGGGACATTTCTCCTGCTATGATTACTTTCAGGTTTAATCATTTTCCTGACTATAGTCGATGCCAGGAGATCCTCTCTCATCAAAATTAGAGCTTTAGCGTTTTCACATCAAACTAAATGAAAGCTGAAACTCAGATCATTTGGCTCATTAGATCAAGCTCCTGTTTGATAGTCACGGAAATATTCTGTAAAACCACTGAGACGTGTTTCTGGCTAACGAGCCGCTCTGCCTCCAAAAAGCTCGCCCACATGAACCTGGGAATACATCTCATTTCATGTTACAGTTAAACAAATACACAAACTGAATATCAACAGTTCATCTGAAGCTAAACACACTTCTGCAGCAGATATGCACATGTCACAGGCTTTTATAGACTGATGCCAAAGAGACAGATTAAATGAATCTTTCCAATTTCAGTACAACAGTTTAAACTCAAGTGTGCTCGGGTATAAAGAGAGCAAACGGGGAGAAACAGCTAAAGTGCGGCTGAGCGTCACTCCATGTTTACTGTGCAGAGAATACAAGTGTATCAGCTCTGTGTCTGTGAGTAATGTTCAGATATTTTAAACTAGTAAAAAGTCCTTAAAAATGTTATTTAAAGTGGACCTATCATGCTATATTTAAATGATATATTGTAGGGCCATACCTATATAAGGTATATTTATACGTTTCTGTTTTCAAAATACCAAACAGATCATGCATTTTAGCCATGCCTCATTTCGCTCTATGTGCTGTTTGCTGTCTACGGGTCTGATTCTGCTGACCACGCCCCCCTGCAGGAGAGGGGAGCCGTGCTCTGATCAGCTGCTGGGCTGTCAGAAGAGGGGGAGAAAAAGAGATCTCCGTCCTCCGTGTTTTATTATATAGAGTCGTTATTCATTTGTTTTAAAGCTCAATAAATAACAAAGAAGACCTTTGACCGGCACTTTTCTAATTTTGGCCGGAAGATTTAAACTTTAACGGACATCTTGACCGGCGAAATAAACTGAAACTGAAACTCTGCCGCACGGTCCCCTCGTTCCTTGGAAGAGGCGGAGAGGTGGGTGTTTGTCATCTGCTGGTGGACTAACCGGAGATAATTACAGTGCTTGCCTCGACGGGCGAGAGGAATGCACTTGCAGCGGGAGCAAACGCTTGCCTCGGGGAGGGAGAAAAAAAGCCACAGCGGAGAATAAACAGAAGGGTAACCATGGTAACTATGGGCGGGAAGTCTTCTTCGCTGCTTTTGTGGCAGACTACAGCGCCACTTACAGGCCTGGCATATGCACTACAGCGTCTCCAGCGCTTTCGAGCAGCAATGGGCGGCCGTGGCCCAACCCCACATTCCCCTGATAGGTGGAGAGTTGGCCCAATAGCGCTCATCAACGTCAGGACAGTGTTCAAATCTGGATCAGTTTTTATCAGATCCGTTGCAGCCCCTTTTTTAGAGATTTGGGTATGGAGGAAAATAGAGAGGGTTGTGTTTTCTGACACTTGGTGAGTTCCCTGGAACACCGGGGACACATATTCATGTATAAAAGATGTACAAAAGTGCATTTTGCATGATAGGTCCCCTTTAAGTAAAAATACAACTGTATTAGCATTAAAATATTACCCTGTCACTCAATAATCAGTCAGTGGTAAACTTGGGCTCTACTGCATTCATGTTTTCATCACTTTAATGTTGCTATTGGGAAATGTGGAGCTCCCTTAAATTACTTTTTTATACAGTGTTTGATGTCAAATAACTATATTTTGTAATGAAAATCTACAAAGTAGAAACAAATGTAGTGCAGTAAAAGTAAAACATGTCCCTCTGATAAGTAGCAGAGTGGTTTGAATCAATAATCATAATATCAATGTTATGTTTAAGATGAAATACTTCCACCTTTACCAGCTGCAACATTAACATAGTGTACACATAAATGCTTCAATAATTATAATTAAATAAGATGTATATATATATATTTTTTTTTTTTACTAACAAAAAGGGTATTTCTACTCTCTGGTATTTCTGATTTCTTACTCTCTTGGTTCCAATATTTTGAAAATGTTTATATAAAACATCCAGAGATGTGACAAACGGTCAAATGAACTAGATAGTTAAAAGTCAGTAAATTATATAAAGCTGATTTTACAATACTGATTTTATTAAGATGCAAATGATTAAATTAGAGTCATAAGATAGGAGAGCGAAAACCTTATTTTTAAGCCACTCCATTAGTTTTACCCGAGTAAAGTTCTGAATGTAGGACTTTGCTCCTAATAGAGTTATTCGACCAGTTTTGCTTTTCCTACTTAAAGCATCTGAGCACCTCCTCCATCGCAACAACAACGGCATGGAGGAGCTGAGTCCAGCTTTGTGCTGTTAAGACCATTTTCTGTGCTGACACAGCATGAGGCTGTAAATCATGATGTGATCTCAGAACATGAAACACAGTCTGATCAACGTTCCCCAGAGGCTGCGTGTGGTTCTGTACTGTATGTTCTGCTGATGTGTGTCTATATTATGCATCACAACACGCCCTCACAGCAGAAAACTGCCAGTTATTTGCATGTTCTTTTCAGTTTCAGCAGTGTGAAAAAGTATCAGTGCTCAACTACAAGTACAGGTCCTGCATTGAAACCCTCAGCAAGTGCACTTAAAATAAAAGTATTGATTGTGTGGTAAAATGTTAATGTTCTAAATACTGATGAGAGTCCATTTCCTGGCTATACGTGCAGTTTTATCAAATAAAATGAGAAGTTGGCAAAGACAAAAGTAAAGAAAAAGGTCTCCTCTAAATTGCCAGAAGCGCCGACACCTCCTCATCACTCCACCGCTCCGATGACTTATTTAGTGTTGTCATAACTGCTTTCACAACAAACTACTCACTCCGTTGGTGCGCTGGGCTAATATTTATTGCGAGGAAATAAAATGGCGGCTTCACAAAACTTTTCAGAGTTTTACGGGGCGTGGTTTGCAATCCGCCCAGCCAATAGAAATTGGTACTTTTTTCTCCCCAGGAAAGTACCACCTCTCTAGCAGGCACTACAAATGGGGGTAAAAGTTCTCTGAACTAAGTACTCTTTTTGGTGTGAACCTTTATATATACAGTCTATCTATGGTGTGAACGCAAAATTCCAGGCACTAACGGAACTAAACGGGAAAAGTACGGGGAAAAGTACTCCGGTGTGAACGCGCCTATTATGTATTATATCATTTCTATATTATAACTTTTGTGTAATTATAATTATTGTCATATTTTATCACATTTTACTGCACTCAGTTTCCTACATAACAATTTTTGCGTAAATATTGTCTTTATTTTTCCTTTGTTGCAATAGTTTTAGCTATTTTTTTTGGGTAACATATTGTTCTTTCTGTGTCTCTGTATGCACCACTTATACCAAGCAAATTCCTTGTATGTGTAAACCTACTTAGTAATAAAACTGATTCTGATTGAATTAAAGAAAAAGAAGCATTGTCTGTTATAGTCGAGTAAAAAAAGGGAAGTCTTCATTTGCAGCTGCAGGCATAAACAGTATGTTTTCATAAAAGCAAATAAACCAAGACTACCATGCTTGTTAACATTCTCAAAATGAAACGATAAGCAGGTATAATGTCTTAGCTTAGCCTGTTAGCATCATAGCAGTCTTACTGATATTCAGCTGTATCTGAAGATCTGCTGCAACACTCATTCAGTGAAACAGATGCCATGTGTTCACACTGTCTCATCTGCGAGCAGCGAGTCTATTCTGAGACGCAGGGTGAGGAACACCTGTACCGAGAGAGCGATGAGACGGAAAGGAGCTGCCAAATGTTTCCTCAGATAGATTTTAACCCTTCGATATACGTGCAGGAACTGTTTCCATCCAACTGACTGAAAAGCAGAGCTCAGGAGGAAGATACTCCAATGATAACTGTTCTGTGGCACGGCTGTTAACACAATTCAATTAAAAAAATAAATACATGTCTGCTATCCAAGAAATGATGTATCAAGTAAAAGTATGTAGGTAAAATCAGGGAATGCATTTAAAGTATTTACAGTAAGATCAAATGACCAAATGAAGAATCTGAAAAGATATATTTATTTAGTTTGACATTACAAAGTATTTTTTTTAAATGTATTTCAATGTTGCAGTTAGTCCCATATATGGTAGAATAATGACATTTTTGACATATGATCATATCCTATAACGGCTTGAATTGTGTGTGCATAAACCTTAAAGTAACTAAAGATGTCCGGTAACTATATTGCAGTAAAAACTAAAATGAAGTAGAACGAGGCAGGGAAAGAAAAGACACACGTATTTAAAATGAGTAGAGAAGATCAGTACCTGAGTTCATGTACTTAGCTACAAACCACCACTGCAGACCTGGCTGATGAATCAACTTGTTCAGAAAAAGTGAAATATATTAAGGAAACCAATTCAGATATTTGGTTGCCAAAACCCAGAGACACTTAAATCCCTGCAGAAGACCATTCTGTCTCTGTGTAGGAAGATAAATAATGATTGCAGTCATCAGTGTTTCTAAATCAATGTGTCTATTTGAAGAGAGAGGAGAGACATGGGTTCAGTTTTATGGACCTTTATTAAAGAACATTAATCATAGTGTGTATCCTCAAATAAGAAAAACTATTTACCTTAAAGCCTTTCTGTCGTCTGTCATATCATGTGAACTGAAATACAATACTTACGCAGGTGGTTGAATAAAGCAGCACACTACATGGAAACTGAAATATATTAAAGGGTCAGTTCAACCAAATCACAAACACATATGTATCTACCTATTCCTGTGGTTCACTGGTATGAAATCATAGTTTGCTCATCCACACACCTCCATTTGGACATACAGGAAATACTAATAGCTCATTTTGCATACTTTTAATGGAGCAAATTTGCCAATTATGTGAGCAAATATAGGCGAGAAAAAGTAAATCCATTCAGAAAAACAAGATGCGGTTTTCTTCAGTTTTAAATCCATCAGAAATAGTTGTGTGTACATCCATGTGTGTACTGAAAACAAGAAACACTTTTAGCTATTTGCATGCTTTACATTTGCTAATATGTTAACAAATGTACGCTCAAGTAAAATCTGTTAAGTAAATAAGCCGCTCCTTTTAACTGAGAATCATCACATCACTTTTATTCAGCATTAAACTCAGGAATACTTTGTTTGTACTTTCAATGCTGTGACTGTACTGACATGTTTACAAATGTACGCACAAAAAAAGGGATTCATTATTTTTAGAAAAACAAAGAGCTATTCGTCATAATTTTTATGAAGCAAATGTGTGAAAGTGTAACCAAATATAGGCCTTAAATAAGCTCACTTTACTACTGTATGACAATTGTCTCCAAATGCTCTTTAGTTTCTATTTGAATGCAATGTTTTTACTTTGTTTGTGAATCTCCAACTTTTATCGATTTCTGTTACTTTACTTATTTCAGTCTTAATCTTACAATTAAAACAAATATTGCCACAAATAAAGATAAGGCATGTCGTAGCCCTAGCTAACTTGCTCACTCCATGGTGAGACTTTACTTCCTGTTTACATTACCAAAACCCTAGGAATTATGGGATCTGTATTTCTAAAATGCCCAAAGTAACATTTAAATAGTAAGTTTTGTCTGACAAACAGTTTTCAAACCCTAAATCTTAAATGTGCAATAATATAATACAGGGGCGAGCAAAACACTCGAAAAATAACACGGATGAATAAATAAGATACGAATTTTATGAATTGTGATCCTTTTTTCTAATTTTTCTCTATTGTTTAAAGGTCACCTATCATGCTATTTTTAGGCAATAGCATAGGTCTCAGATATATACAAATATATTAAAAACATGTCTATGAAGTGTTTTGCTCAAAATACCAAACAGATTACCCATTCTAGCCATGCCTCATATCCCTCTATTTCACTTCCTGTTTCAAAAGTGCTGATTTTGGGTATAAAGCTTTAAAAAATAAAAATATTGATACAAAATAAAAAAAGAGGGGGCTAAGCTCATGCGGGACCCGGCAGCTACTGCCTAACTAAATACTGCGGTGATGAAACGCGATATCATGGATTATCAAGGATTATTTCTGAAACAGTATGGAGCTCAAAGGCTTTCTCTCTTGCCGGTTATACCACAAGGTGAGTTCCTTTTTATTTCCAGCTTCTTCACACACATGCTCTCCAGTACAGGTTAGCTCTGAGTGTTAGCGATGCTAATGTAAACACGACCATATTACGTCCAAAACAGTCGGGCATTGTTTCTGATAGCAACTTTCTGATAGTGCCGTGGGTCCACATTTCAGATATTACGTCATATCGGACGCAAATCTGGATCAGCTCCGTTGTACCCCCGTTTTTAGAGATTTGGGTACGGAGGAAAAGAGAGAGGGTTTTATTTTCTGACGCTGCGTGAGTTCCCTGACACACCGGGGACACATAGTTATGTATAAAAGACATCAAAAAGTGCATTTTGCATGATAGGTCCCCTTTAAGTGTTTTATTATTTTTATGATCATTATTATTTTCTTTAAACTTTTCGTTTCAGCTCTGATACCAATTATTATTTTTAGACCACTTTGGAGTAAGTTATATTTAACTGTTTTGTGATTTCTTTGAACTGACCCTTTAACTTCTAAAAAAAACAAGTGAAGAATTGTACCAAACGTAATGTTTGTAGAGGGGAAAGGATGCCTTTCTCGAGATTTAAGGAGGAATTCCATCATTTTAAATATAAATCTTTCTTAGTGCAGCTTTTCATTTAATTTAGAACATATAAGCTAAAAGTCTACAAAGAGATTTAAATAAAAACAGATGAAATATAATTAAACTATGAAGTCCATTGTAGCAAACATCAAGTGTGCATGCAGCTTGATGAAAATAAATAGAGTTTTGTTGCGTGAAGCACGGACAGGAATGAAAAAGTAGTACAAAAACTGTAGAAAGAAAAGGAGTGGCCTTATATAAAGATATTATGATATATACAACAAATAAATAAAACTCACTTAAACTCTAATACATATCATTATTATTTGTTTATGTGATGAGAAATAAATATCCATTCACACACTCTATTTGTGTCCAGTTGGTGTAACTGTCCATGTCAAAGAGACAGAACAAATTATAGAAACATCCCATAAAAAAGAAATCCGAACATGGCCCCCGGTCTCAATAAACACACTCACGTTAATTTATGTTATAAAACAGACGAGGTGAAGTCATGTCGATCACGTCGCACCCTGAGGAGATCTGCGGATCATTCTGGAAAGAAATGAAATGACATCAACGATGAATACACATATTTATTGACAGAAAATGTATTTATACAATATCTCATTCTAATAACAAACAAATATAGCTACAACTTGTTTTAATGGAAATTAATCCGCACATAATTATCTTCAAATTAAAATGTGGTGCAAAAGCATAAAAAATGTGATAAAAAAAAGTGAACGATTTGTTGTTGTTTATTTTTTGTCAGATCTCAGGTTCCCACCAACAACTCTAATCAAAAAGATATAAGAAAAAAATATGAATAAAACATTTAAACTTAAATAAAGTATAAAAATATATATAACATTTATATATAACACTATTAGGGCAAAACATTCCCAAAAACCTTAAATAATAACATAACATTAAAGGTCACCTATTATGCAAAATCCACTTGTCCCTGTCTTTTATACATAAACATGTGTTTAAAAAATATTCTCTCACTTTCTGTCCTGATCCATTTATATAAAAACCTGTCTGAAAGTGAGCTGATCAGATTTTGGCCACTTTATGATGTCATAACGATGTTTTGGCTTGTGTAACCATGAGCCAATCACCAACCAAGGTAACCCCCCCCACCTTATCACCTGAATCTCCTCCTAGAGCACCATTGAGTTCTTTGTAACCAAATATCTCTCAGAGGGGCGTGGGGAGTGGCTCCTTATTTTCATCTAAAGTAACAGACCCAGAATCAGCACTTTTGAAACAGGGCTGAAACAGAGGGGATTATGGGATGCTGCAATGATCTGTTTGGTATTTGGAGCCAAACACTTCAGAGACATGTTTTGTATATATCGGAGACCTATAATATATTGATGAAAAACAGTATAATAGGGGACCTTTAACATAACATTAAGAAAAACATCCAAGTGTCGCATTTAAGAAGCTGTAAATCCTCTATAAGAATTTGCTGCAACCATTTTCTCCTGATTTAATGAACCATCAGCTCTTCAAACAAACTAGTATGATTTTTTTTTTAATTTTTTTTTTTTTTTTTTTTAAATTGTACATACCTCCAGTGCCTGAAAATGTATTCACGTCATCTCTTGTGTTGTTTGTTGACACATGTTAACGGTTTCTTCTGGTGGACACAAACATAGAAAAAATAAACAGAAATAATGAAACTAATTTAAATATTTTCCAGAAGCAGGACATGTTGTGATGATTATCATACAATACAAACAGCAGATATGGTTATCTGCTGAGAATCAAACAGAACACGTGAGTATTTTCTTAATACTTAATAACACAATTAATTATTCAACCTACATGATACATAGCCATCGGGCTCACTCTGTGTGTGTGAGTGTGAGTGTGAGTGTGAGTGTGAGTGTGAGTGTGAGTGTGAGTGTGTGTGTGTGTGTGTGTGTGTGTGTCACTGATGATCCACACTCATGTCAATTCTGTACACTTGATTTGACTATATATCTAACATTATATTTTCCAACAAACAATATTCCTTGTTAGTAAATCTGCCCGTGTTTTCCATTTGTTTCTATATGTAAAAGGTCTCAATCTTTCACCCACATATTTGCATATACAATCTATACCTCTCAAATAACTAGTATACACAATGTATTTGAAAATAAAACACCAGTGACCCCCAGAGGCCATGCAGCTCCTCACACTTTGGACCAACAACACATTTAAAGCTCTGAATAACAAGGCTGGAACTTACTTTGTGCTCTGGACATCTAATAGAGAAGTTATCCTCGTTTAAGACACAGCCTGGAAATAAAAAACACAAACACAGAACATAAGCTTTCATATCCTTAAAGATTGTCCCATGAGACTGAGAGAGAATGAGAGCGAAAAGCTTTCAACATTTCACAGCCAGAGTTCAGAGGGAGCAGAAGGTAAACGGCGAAATACAAAAATACAAAAAAGAGTTTACTTTTGAACATTCAACATTTACCTTTTATAAAAAAAACATATATTTTGGAATACATAAAAGAATAACAAATTAAATATACATTTTGGAAATAAAAAGATTAATAAACAAAAATATAAATCTGAAAAAAAAAGTGGGAAAATATAGTAAAAGATACAACTGGATATATAAAGACAAATACAAAATATAATTATAAACATTTTCATTTTTTACAAATCCTTCTTTATTAAAAATAATTAATAATTAATCTATTTATATACGATTATTTCTATTTATAAATTACATTATTTGTAGAATATTTATTTTATTTTTATATTGTATTTATTTGTATTTTTTTATTTTTCCCAATTGCTTTTTGAGTATTCCTTTAGGGCCAAACTGTCTAGCAACCGGCTTTACTTATTTTATTTATCACTCTTTATTTTTTCCTTACAATTGAATTCTTCTCCAGAGACTTTTATGATCCCATCATTTAACAAACAGTACACATATTGAGGGTGCATTCTTTTCCTGACGGATATGTCATACTGTACCTGATTGAATGGCACATGAGTAGTGATAACTTCTATGACAGCCCTTCTGGAAACATCCCATAATTGCACCCGTTTGTTGGCACGCTGAACATTTCTGAAAAGAAAAAGCCCACAATGAGACACAGACTTATTGATATTAAAAGCATGAAACAAATAGTCAGTTGTTTTTTAATATGTTAGTGTGCCGCTCACTGTTTCCTGTGCGAGCTGGGCAGCCTCCTCCAGCCCGTACAGCTTCCCCCCCACCAGGAAGACCCCGGTGGACCAGATGCCACAGTCCCCGTGGATCCAGCCCTCGTCCACACGGAGAGGCTCCTTTGGGAGGAGGTGCAACAATTAACATCTTCATTAAGTTTAAATAAAGAGGTAAATACCTCCACAATCTAGAAAGTGTAGAGTAAAAATTAGGCTTAAAAATGTATCAAGACTGAATTTATGACAGTTTAGGGGGTACAACGCCATTACAGGAAACCATCTGAAACGCATAGTGTGCTATTTGTTGTAAAGGGGCCCTCTAGTGCTAATTTTTAGGTTCATATTTGTAGTTTGTGTCTACTGTGACATGTTTACATGCTTCTATGTTCAAAAAGCTCTTCTCACACTGCCTGTGCTGCAGCACCTCTTTTCACCCTCTGTCTGAAACCAGAGCCCAGTCTGCTCTGATTGGTTAGCTGGCCGGCTCTGTTGTGATTGGTCAATTGCCTAGAAATGTCCCGACACTTAGCCTATCACGTACAATGTGATGAAATGCAATTGTTTAATAGTGATGTCACTATGTTCCTGAAGTAAACAAAGGAGTCCAATGGAGGCGTTTCAGGCAGCTTGGGAGTGTATGGGAGAGAAAGTCCCTCTGGAGGGAACTTTGGCAGACCATTTACATGCAGAACAACCTATTAAATATGTAAGGGAAAACCCCAAAAAGCATAATAGGGTACCTTTAATGAAGAATGTTGCGTAACATATCTGTAAACCAAATATCTCTGTGGTTTCGATCCAAAAACAAGACATTTAAAGACATCACTTTTGAATTTGAAAAACTAGAATGGATATTTTATACACAAGTATTATTTAAAAAATATCTATAAAATATTCAGCATAACAATAACAACCATTATCATTATTTGCGGCCCCACCTTTGGGAGAGAGTGGTTGTCACCCTCAAGCAGACTTTTGACGCCATGGCAGTCATTATCTGAGGAGTTTACTGAGCTTCTGCTGGTGTTTGATTGTCCCTCCTCTTTCTGCTCAGTCTTGCACAGCAGAGAGGGGCCGGTGGGGTGATACGGGCCGTGTAGGTCCCCCAGGCCCGTGGCGTTGGCCGTCTGACCGCACAGGCAGCAAAGTAGAGCTGCCTCACCCCCGCTCTCTGAGCCAGAGCGCCCCAGCTGGAAACAGGAAGTGTGGGGAACAAACCCGGACAGAGAGGAGGCTTTCTGCTGCTGCCCCCTCCTCACTGTAGTCTCCTCTTCTGGATAGTTAACAACAGTGCACGCCCTCTTCTGCACGTGAACAAAGGGGCAAAAATTCCCCGAAGGCTTTTTCAGTTTTTTCTCTTTTAAGTTTGCATATTTGAGCTTTATTTCTGTCTCTCTGGGAGAAAAGAGAGAACAAGGTCCAGTTGGCCGCGAGCGCACTTTTTTCTTCCGTCGTGCCACTGTTTGTTTGATTTGTTTACTTTCATGCTGCTCTGTAGCACTTGTGCTTTTTTGTGTCTGTTTAGTTCTTGTTTTTTTTGTTTTACAAATGGCGGGAGGCTTCTTTCGTTTACAATTGATGGCTTTGCAGCGAGGCTGCTGCTCCCTCTGCGGTGACTTCCTGTCTGTCTGAGAGGCCGCATGAGACTCCTCTGAGCTGCTGCTCACTCTTTGGGACACATTTTCTTGCAAGGCCGACTCCTCTGTGTCCGAGCTGGAAAACCTTGCCTCGTACTCCATCATGTCGTCAGAGTCACAGCTTTCGTTATAAATGCCCACCACGTCATTTTTAGCTTGCCTCCTCAAACTGTACCTGGACAAGCTGCGTGGCGACTCGCTGCAGATGTATTGAGATATTTCAGACACAGATTTCCTGATTCTAGTGCTGCGTCGGATTCTTCTAGGCTGAGCTTTTTCATCCTCACTCTGAGGAGGAGTTTCTCTCGCTGTCTTACAAGAAACAGTTTTCTTGTTTTTGCTAGTGACAGAAACTTCAATGATGTCACTGTCGTCGCTTGAAATATCTACCAGGGATTCAGCAGGGTTCAGGTCTGACAGGAGCACGACGGGCCGGGCGTGATGTATCGGGATGTCCACGGAGCTGTCTGAGGACTCCTCTGAGTCCGAGCTGTCGGGACTGGGCGAGCTCAGAGGCTGAGGTAGGTGATAGCAGCCTCGCTCTTCTTCCAGCAAGGACACCGCCGGGGACAGAGGGTCCACGATGTGCGTCATGCTGTCCTGGAGGAACGAGCTGCATAAGAGCGGCTCCTTAGCGGACGAAACGAGGAAAATAACATCAGAGCCGCTGTCGCTCTCCTCTCCGCCGCTGCTTTCAGGAACTGAGAGACCTGCATGCCACAGGTTGCCGTTAGGGTACAGCCCAGGAGCTAGTGTTGAGTTCATATAGTTACTCAACGCCTCGGGGCCCTGCTCCATGTTTCTGCAGTGGAGACCGGGCTGAGAGTTGTAGGAGGACGAGGCTCTGGATCTGTACGGGGAGCTGATCTCGGGGCTGCAGCTCGGCAGCCGTCGGTGGTACCACTCAGGCTTCTTCCCCAGGTCCATGGCTTCAGTGTGGCCGCGGCTCAGGGGGTGGACCGAGAAGCCCTTTGACAGGTCCATAGCCATGAGAGACGGGATCCTGAGGGGACACCTCCATCACTGCAACACATAGACATTTAAATTAGAGGGATTCACTTATTTTTATTACGATTTATTTTACCAGAAAGGCCCCATTGGGATACAACCTCTTCTGACAGTCCTGGTGAAGATGGGCTGCAAACATAGTAAACATTAAAAAGTACAAATTGGGAGTTGACATCATATTTAAAGTATTTTTTAAAGATTGCAACAGAGGGTAATAATTATGCATCACATGACATGGAAGCTACTGGAAATATTTAATACTTTTCAATAAATAAAAAGAGATACAAAAATAAATAATAATCCAATAACAACAGATGTGTCTTTTTTGTCTTCTTTTGTTATCATAGAGTATCAGGTAAGGTTTTTGAGTAAATGGGTCTGATGATACAGAAGCTATTGGAAATAAATGACACCTTTCATCAACAAATGCTGAATTTATGTTACATTTTCATTGTTGCGATTGAGACAGCTGACTTTTCTTATTGAAATATTTATACTTTTAGCGTTTTTACAAATAATAGCAAGTTAGCACGGAGGTGTTGAAATTAACATTGTTTTTTTGGTCATTTAAATGGTAATTTATTGATGGTCCCTAAACCCTCTGGTCTGTCGAATATCCAACCCCAAACTAACTTCACCGCAGTTGTGTTCAATAACACTGCACGTTAACCAGAAAAAACATTCCACAACAAATAACTGGTATGTCGCTACAGTCATCTATTTAAAAAAGTATTTGTATTATTTATTTTCATCAGTGAGTTGAAATCCTCATTAAAGTGGAAAACAAAAGTGATTAGAAATGGTTTCTAGTTTTATGTTTACAAAAGGTACGAGACAACTACAACAAAGCAGGATATATGTTATGTAACATGTTTGAAATAACTATTTCAACCTTGCTCTAAAAATAGTAATTGTAGGTAAAATCCCCTTTTCTAATGTGTTTATGTTTCCGGACCTGTATTTAACTGAGCTTTAACATGTTAACAGGTAGGCCCGCCCATGAGTAATGTAATAGGTAACCTGCCTGTAACATGACATGATGTAATGTAGATTTAACCCACAATAAGTGTACAAAAATAAATGTTTTTCAGAGTAAAACTGTTGATGGTCTTACCCTCGAGGTGGCAGCAGTTTGACCCCGGTCCTGACACAGCGGGCTTTGGGAGGACAACTCCCCAGCAAACAGGTCGTGTATGTGGGTTTAGCTAACACACCTCTCCGGGCCCGTCATCATCAGGACTGGAAGTAAACAAGAAGCAGCGACTTCATGCTAGCTGCTTAGCTAACGTTAACCCGCTAAAGCTCATCAAAACGTTGGCAACACTCGACGCGGTAAAAACGAGATTACCATTTTTCGTTAAATAATCGCTGTCAGGCAGTTACAGCCCTCTGGCTACTGTTGGTATTTTAAAGTTGTCATCAGGGAGTCCATCTTCCTTCAGAGTCAAGACACCTGAAGGAACCAGGGTGACACCGGAAAGAAGCGTGCCATTTCAGAGTAAAAGCTTCATGATACCCTAAACATAAAGCATCAATGTTATAATTTATCCAAAGTAATCAACATAAAAATGAGCTTTGAGACAGGGATTTAATCGAGAGAATTATTTAATGTGTAGGAATAATACATTCATTGTTTTGCTTTGAATATCTCAATTTCAAAGAGTTCACACAACAAAATAGGCTACAGAGAACACTGGTGAATATAAAAAAATGTGTTTTATTTTATCCTTATCTTGTTCCTATTCTAATTTTACGCTCATTGTTTATTTTACGTAATACATTGTTTTTTGTACCCCCGCAATATTCTGCCCGACTGTCCCACGTTGGATGTCAATTGGGGCTTTTATTTTGAAATCTTCAATCGGAACCATAGACTGTATATATAAAGATCGGAACTCAGTGTTTTTCCGACATTCTGTTTTAACTGTTTTAACTTGACATTCTTCTTCTTCAGCCAGAAATAGTGCTGAATACTGTCAAAAATAGCCTGATTTTTTTGGCTGCATCTTCGCAAGATATACATTTTTTTCAATGACTGTATTAACTGTGACTTTTAATCTTTCATGTACAAACTGGTACTTAATAGAAATATTAAATGAAATATGGCCAATAGTAACCAATTCAATTCTGCGAATGTGATTTATTAATAAAACATCTATGTTTATTATTGCAGTGTACCGGCAACACATCTTTAGATTTAGTTCAATTTCATTGATAATAAATGAGGACAGACAGCAGTGGTTAAGAGTATACATATTTCAGATCAAAGTGTTACAACAATTATATGGCTGTACAGATCAAATATACACATAAATTAACAATTTTTTTATAATATTATTTGGGAAATATTCAAATGAAATTTCACAGGACCATTGCAGCAGAAATTACTGTAAATGACAAACTCAGTGTGAGAAAGGTTAATAATTGCTCAGACATAATACAAAGTAGGGACACAATATAAACATCTTTAAACACAAAAATAAAAAGGTGTGTTAAGTAAGATTGTGGATGAAAGTTCTTGGATGTATTAAACAATAACTTGTTTGTTTGTTTTAAATACATTTGTTGTGGGTGAAAATACAGGAAGAAAACCACATGTTACAGTGAAGACTAATGTTATGTTGCTATTTTAAAAACAGATGGTTTTAGGGAGAAGTTTGGTCCAGAGCGTGATGAGCGAGTCTCAGGTTTTCTCTCAGCTCGTCCATCTCTCTCTCTGTTTTGGCCCTCGTGATGCTCAGCTCCGTGTACATGTCTTTGTACTTCTTGGTAGCGTTCCTCTTGGCCTGAAACATGACAGACATTAGGTGTAATTCTCTTTGATTCAATCTTTATTATTCCAGCTACTGTATATGTGTGATTTTTATGACGTTGTAGGGTAAATTAAAGAAATTACGTAGGTTATATTCTCAGAAAAAACATATGAAATGTAAGATTGAAGTTAAAGGTAGGGTAGGTAAGTTTGAGAAACTGGCTCGAGATACACTTTTTGTGCTTTGACAAAAACTCCATAAAAAAATATCTGTGGAAGCCGTAATACTGTAAAAAGCACGACCAATCATTTTAGCCGGCCCGGCTAAAATAACTGGATGGCCTACCTGCCTGTCAGCCTTCCATCTGTGCACAAACTTATCTCGTGCCCTCATTGGTCATGTGCACGTTCGTGTGTGTTGGAGGAGGGGCTCTATAAGGAAGTGGCAGATTTTCTCCGGTTGTGTATTTTCAAATTCTAGCGATCTCGAGCCGGTTTCTCAAACTTACCTACCCTACCTTTAAGAATTAAAATGAAAAAACTCACTAATGAAGTGGTACATCTCCCAGAAAACATTTGTTGAATATTACCAGAGATAAAAGTAGAAAATATATCTCATGAATTTATGAGGCCGACCTTGCAAAGTGATTTCTGGCAAAACCATTTTTCACAAACAAAAGCGGTAATAAATCACTTCAGATTCTCACCTTTTGTGCTGATTGCAGGTCATCCCTCAGAGATGTGATCTCCTGCTTCAGACACTGACCCTCAGACTCCTTCACCCGAAGGGTTATCTGAGATCAAAATAATAACAGCTTTATGTCTCCACCATCAATAAGTAAAGAGCTAAAACTGAAGTGAACACTGGAGATCAAATCATACTGCAGAGCTTACTGGCTTTATGACTAATGAACTAGTTGGAGTTCAACATCTTACACTTTAAAAGGTCGGATGCTCTGGCTATGGTCTTTCAGATGACTTCTCATTATGCATATACATTTACTACATTTATGTTTACTTTCATTTGCGATCAGTCTCTAAAATAAATTAATATCCATTAATTTACACTTTTTTAATGTTTATATTTTATCCCTATATTTGTCCCGACAGTTCATAAGTTGCAATCAGATATGTTCAGCCACTGTTCACCAAAAACAACAAAACATTGAAATAACACTGTATAAACTTTATAAATATTTTCATATTTCATATTATTTTATCTTACTCCATCTCCACACAAGACTTATTTCAAAGAGAAGACTTACCTCCATTTCGTACCGGTCCATCCCCTGACTGAGCGGCAGAGCGTCCTGCTTCGCCAGAGAACACAGTCTGGTGATCTCTGCTGCCAGGTGACCGCTCAACTCCTGGAGGACAACATCAGAAACAAGACCACAATGAGGCTTTTATCTCAATCACACTCTGATGTGTTTAAATAGCCCATAGGCCGTTTTAGTCAAAAGTCATGTGTTTGTAAAGTAATGAGCAAAAGACTGGATATACTGCACGCGTTGTGTGAGATATAGGTGTGCTGTATATGAAACACTTCAATTCTTGAGTCACCATGTGAAAAGAATAACGTTTTTTTTAACTATAACACCGCTTGACCTATTGATATACAAATGTTTTTTTATCGGGTGAGTATTCCTGTAAAGCTATGTAAATGACTAAGACACTATTTGCTTGGCAGTGCAGTTGGGGGAGCATTTTACCCTTTGCGGCCGCTTTGAGAATGTATTATTTTCTCTGCGGGTATTAACCATTAGCCATTGTGCATCACAGCTCTCACCTGGTTCCTGGTCCTCAGGTCTTGGTTTTCCTGCTGGCACTGACACAAGGCCTTCCTCTCAGCATCCAGGGCCTGCACAAGATGGCCGCTCTCCAGGCATTTCAGAGAGAACTGCTGGGACAGAACCTCCAGCTCCCGCTGGTACGAGGCCAGCTCCTCACTTTACAAACACACAGAAATATTCTAAATAAACTGCAATCTGTACACAACAGTTACAATACATTGTAACTGTTTGGACAACATAAAAGATGTACCTGTGTTGTCTGCACATGTCCTCCAGGTGTGTGTTTCCTTTGCTGTTCTCTGAGCGACATCTCCTCTGCACCTCCCTCTCCAACTCCAGCTGGTAGACGTTCTTGATAGCCTCAATTGCTGAAAGAAGAAGAATAATTAGCTAAATCATTTACTTTTCATGGTGATAGTTTGAAGGTTATTCAAAAAAGGAAACGGATAGAATTTATACAAAAAAACAAACTGAATAAAGCATTTTCACATAAAAAATATGTGTTTCATCTGTGGACACAGGATGGAGGAGCTATGGGCTTAACCTGTAAAGCCCTGAGCCTGTTTTTCAGGTCTCAGGCTCACAAATGACATTCCCAGAACAAATGACTATATTCACTTCTAAAAGGGGAAAATTCATAATCTTTTTTCTCAAAACAATGATAAACCTGTGAGTTGGATGTAGAAAAGTCAGAATCAATATAGAATGTTTTTATTTCAAAGTAAATTCAGATTGAACATAGTAAAAAAATGTAAATGATAGTGTCCGTCCAAAAAAAATGAATGATGGGATGGTAGACTAAAAGCTTTAGGAATCCAAACTATAACATATAATAAGTACCCTGTATCAAGATTGATGCAAAACAAGTGACATTTGACCTTTTTAGAGAGGTTTAGCAAAAAAACAACACTTCTGGGGTCATTTGGGTGCATTTTCCATTTCTATGGCCCCCCTCGGTCGATTTTGATGATTGACACCTCTTTTTAACCGTTAGAGCCAATAGAATCGAGGGGAAGTTCCTAAAATCCATCTAAACATTACCCATTGGTGAATGAGTGATGCGTAGCCAGAATGCCCCGGAACCGGAAGCTGTCATACACTCTGGTAGCTGTCATAGCAGCTATATATGAAAACTCCGTTATTGACATAAATATGGAGATGGATTGTCAGTAATCATTTCAGACACATTGGATTAACCTTCAGCAGCGTTTTTATCGTTTTAATGCCATTGAACACAACTTTTGATCAGAACAACAGCAAAAGGTAAGACAATGTCCCGTTTCTGCTCCGTAAAGCTCCATGTTGTGATGTCTGTTTTTGCTTCTCCTGTCGCGAGTTCTGATCGCTCAGTAATGATACTAATACCTGGAGAATCTGTGGAATCTCAGCTTGCTAATCAATATCTTTGTGCAGATCCGATATGTAATAAGGGTATTTATACCTAGAGTTCTGTGCTAAGTGTGTTAGCATTTTTTTGCTCAGGGCTCATTTAGACGCTTCTTGTGAGACTTGTGTTTTGTTTCGGTAAAAATGGTTCGTATCGTCAGTTAGCTGAGTTTCTTCCCCTTAAGTGGGTATGACACATTAATAGGTTTTTAAAAGTTAAGAAGCCCTGAGACACAGTTTCGTGAAAAAAAAAACCCGTGGGCGGGGGCCTCCGGGTTGAACAGGTTAAGGATAAAGTCATCTCAGCTTGTGTCTTTGTTAACTTAAGAACCAGACGTCTAAAGAATAAAAACCTTTAGGAAAATATAAAGTTAAAAATTAATAAGATCTAAAAAGGCGATGGTAAAAATGTGGCATTACAATGGATTTAAAGTGCATTTTTGACAGCTCCTCACCAATGACAGTAGCAGCGCTCTCCTCCTCCAGCAGCCTGTCTCTCTCCACCAGGAGGCGCTC